TCATTTTGTTCGCGCCTGCAGCCACTTGGGCTGCTGGGCCAGACTGGAACAAGAAGCCAAGAACTGCTTCCAGGCCTTCCTCGTCGGGGACAGGGACCCAGGTGCTGGGGCAGTCCCCACTGCCTCTCGGGTTACACAGTATCAGGGCCATGGACTGGAAAGGGCCTGGAAAGGACATGAACTGGACTCTGTTATGGCATGCGAGCATCTCAAACAGCGACTTACCCTCCATGCCCAATGCCTGCCCAGCTCCCTTGGCTTTTTTGTTTGTTTGTTTTTAGACTGTATTGGAGAGCTTTCCCAAATCTTTCCTTAGTTCTTTACCTGGTTGAAACTCCAAAGTCAGAAGACTAAGAAACCAGTTTGAGCAAAGCAAGAGTAATACTTCATGCTATCTTTGGCAGCAAACAAAGTGGACGCTTGTGCTAGTAGTCTCTGAGATCCTGTGACTGGAGCTCTTGGCGTGCCTCTTCCGGGTGTGCTGGAGGGATAAGAGGGAAGAGCCAGAGCAGTTACTTGAATGATTACTTCAGAGTCCATTGTTTTGTGTGTCAGTTTAATCCAGTTTTTTTTAATGTATTTGAAAGAAAGAAAATGAGACTATCTTCCATCTTCTGATTCACTCCCCAAATGGCCACAACAGCCATTGCTCGGTCAAGTTGAAGCCAGGAGCCCGGAGTTTCTTCGTAAGCACTTGGGCCACCCTTTGTTGTTTTAACAGGTGCAAGAGCAATGAAATACACGGGAAATGGAATAGCCGGGATGTTAATCCATGTCCATGTGTGATGCTGACCTGCTGAGCCACAGTGCTAGACCCAGACATTTTTTTAAGATTCATTTTTTATTGGAAAGTCAGATATGCAGAGTAGGAGAGACAGAGAGGAAAATCTTCTATCTGCTGATCCATTATCCAAGTGACCACAATGGCTGGAGCTGAGCCAATCTGAAGCCAGGAGCCAGGAACCTCTTCCTCTAGGTCTCCCACGTGGGTGCAGGGTCCCCCAGGCTTTGGGCTGTCCTTGACTGCTTTCCCAGACCACAAACAGGGAGCTGGATGGGAAGCAGGGGTGGCTGGGATTATAACCAGTGCCCATGTGGGATCCTGGCACATTCAAGGCGAGGACTTTTGCTGCTAGGCCACTGTGCCGGGCCCCCAAATTTTATTTTTAAGATGAGGGGAGGGCATGGGGAGGGGTTGGGGGAATCCTAGAGCCTATGAAACTGCCACATAATACAATGTAATTAATAAAAAAAAAAAAGGTGGGGCATTACTGTGGTGTAGTGGGCTGGGCCTCTGCCTGTGGTGCCAGTACCTGTCCTGACTGCTCTAATTCAGATCCAGCTTTTTTCTTGTGGCCTGTGAAAGCAGCAGAGGGAAGCTTCCGGTTCCTAGCTTCGGATTGGCTCAACTCCAGCTGTTACAGCCACTTGGGGAGCCAGCCGGTAGATGGGGATTTCTTTGTTTTCCCTTCTCTCCTTCCTTCTGTAAGCCAGCCTTTCAAATAAAAATCAGTTTAAAAAAAGAACTTTCAAGTGGCAAACATGATTTTTGTGCTAGATGGTCCAAATCGTGAACTGTAGGTATTTCAGCATAACTTTCAGGGTGCAATTCCCGGTGCTGTATCCTCTCGGGCACGCGGTCCTCGGTGCTCTGAAAGACCCTGCGAGTTCATGCCGTGCAGTAATGTTACTGTCTGTCTCCTTGGCCTGTCGGATGGGCAGCCAGTAGAAGCAGCCAAAGGGAGTTGGAGTTAGACCAGCCTGTGTCAAGTTTTCGTGTGCTCGAGATAGTGCAATGCAGCGTCAGGGCAAGCATGGTTAACCCAGCCCAGGCAGTGGGGGACTGCGGAAGTGACCCTCATGTCCAGTTCCCAGGTGTTGGTTACGCTGTGGGGGCGAGCGCCACCCTTCTGGCCCCTCGAGTGGTAGTTGTAGGGCACAGGCTGCCATTCTGTGCCAAAGGAAAGGAGATGCCTGATGCTGTAGAAACGTGCACATTAGGATGTGAAAAAAAATGCAAAATGCAGATTTAAGATTACAGGTGTCATATCTTCAAAACAAAAACTATGTTGTTGTTATTTGCCGTGATCTTTATCTCTGTGTTAAACATCAGTTATATTTCCCTGACTTGTTCTTGACCATTTTTAGAGACTGTGTTCTCAGCTAGTTTGTGAGTTGCAGAGACACTAGACTCCACTAGGAATCTTTGAAATCCCCCGGAGCAAAGGCAGCGGCATGGTGTGACTGTGTGACTGATTGAGATTTAAATCTGAAACATAAAGGTAGTGATACAGGTATCCTCTGTTTAGATTGAAAAATGTTTTATTTGCCCATAAAGACTTAAATGTGAGCAGCAGTACACACTTCCGTATTACACATTTTTTATTTACTTTAGCTGTCTACCAAAAACCAGCCTTCAGATCTTACAAAAGGAAGTGTTTCTTCTAAGTGGACACAACACGGGCTTTGCCGTGAGATTTCAGTCTTTTGTCTCTGGGTTACAGTAATGTGGTTAGAAGAATTAGAGAGATGGGTGTCATTGTTAAGTACTTGCGTTGTAACATGCGCCTGGGTCCCTGCACAAGTAGGTTGTCAGGCGTGGGGTCCGCAGTGGGCCTGTCTCAGAGGCTCATGCTGTGTTAGGACGTGGGATCTGTGATGAGGTCAGCCTCGCTGGGCTTAACTCTGCACTTCTCCTTCTCCTGTCCTGCCGCCGGTACACACACCATATATTATAGTTGACTTTTATTTCAGGGAATGTGGTTTTAATAATAAAGTGCCTAGCACAGGGCTCCTGGTTCATACTTGGTAAGCGTTAGATTCTCTTCCCCATTTGCCGTATGTATTTTAATGCTTTAAAGCTGTATTATAAGCTCAGAGCCCATGCATTTCAGTTTTTTGATGTAGTTCTCCAAGTGGTAAGCCACTTATTTGCTATATTGTGTTCTTCATTTATTATCACTTAGCTAACGTCATTAATCCTAAATGTTGTTGTGTAGGCTTTGAGATTAAAATCGAGAAATAGTAAACTCAGTGTCCGGTCGGATTTCTGCTCTACAGTTTAAATTTCCATGCTATTTCTTGAACCATGCCTCGGAGCCCGCCGGCAGTTAGAGGCCTGTTGAAGGATGTGGCTTTGAGATGCTCCTGCACCTGCTCTGAGCTGCTCGGCAGCAGCACTTCTTCCTGGAGTGACCTTTAAAAGGACTTTGCAGATTAAAAAAAAATGAGAAAATAAAAGATTATTTATGATAAAAAGCAAAGTATGTTAAATTATAAAAATTGCCCACCTTTTGCGCTGGTGTGCCAGGGTGCTGGTGTGTGCAGGGTAGCCGCCCATGGGGCCTGAGGGGAGGGCTTGCAGTGGCCGGGGGTGGGGGTGCTGGCAGGAGATGTGGGGCTCACATCCAGACAGGCGGAACGCCCTCCGTTGGGGGACTCCCAGGATCTGTGTTCTGACCTTGGAGTGCCTGTGTCAGAACTGGGTTTCTTCAGTGGCTTGGATGGAGCAGTGAGGGGCATGCCCAGATGACATGGAGGATATGGCAGTCCACTGGGGCCCACAGAGAACGTGGTACCAGAGCAGAGGATGGTGGGCACAACACGTTGGCCAACTACCCCAGGCGGGCGCTGACAGCAAACATCTGGACGAGTGCGGGCTCTGAGGTAGACTGTGACAGCCAAGGGGCGTTGGAAGGACTTCCCCATCGACAGCATTTCAGAACCACTGAAGCCACTTGAGCAGAACCCTCGGAGCATGCTCCATTCTGGGGATTCAGGCTTGCCGTTTCTGATTCCTGGGTACAGACGATGTTGGGAGGCTGGGAGTGGCTTCTCCCCTTATCTGTCCCGTTTCTCCCTATTCCTCAACTCTTCCCACCCTAATCAGCTATGTAAATATCATCAAAAATAAAATTTTAATAATAATTGGGCCTGGTGCAGTAGCCTAGTGGATAAAGTGCTTGCCTTGCATGCACTGGGATCCCATATGGGTGCTGGTTCATATCCTGGCTGCCCCACTTCCCATCCAGCTCCCTGCTTGTGGCTTGGGAAAGGCTCAAAGCCTTGGGATCCTGCACCTGCTGGGTGACCCAGAAGCCTGGCTCCTGGCTTCAGATCCGCTCCGCTCTGGTTGTGGCCACAGACGGGAGATCTGTGTCTCTGTGCTTGTCTCTGTAAATCTTCCTTTCCAATAAAACAAAATCACATCCTAAAAAATAAAATTTAACAAATTTTTCAAAAAGTTTCCAATGTAAAACTGTCCCCGAGGTAGGAAAAAATAATAAGAAACTGAAAAAAGCAAAGGGAATAAAATACAAAGCCCAGGAAATAGTCTTACGTAGAGGGAAGGCCGCTGCTGCCATCTTCGCCTCTGACAGCTTCCTGTCGGTTCACGGAAGGGGATCACGTGAGTGTATGGGAGCCTGCCTGTCTTGGCGCTTGGTGGGAATCTGCCAGAGGTGCCCCCCTCAGCCTTGAGAGGGACCCCCGCCTCAGACGGTGCTGTCTTTCCTAAGGAGCACGAGTTTGAGACCGAAGGAAGTGCGAAGACGGAGTTTGGTGCGGTAAGACCTGCATCACTCACCTCCTCTGTTGATTCCAGAAGCTGTCGGTGTCCACAGACTGTGCGGGGTAGCTGTTTTTGGTTAGCCTTTTAGCAAAGGTAAAGCAGACAGCTGGCTGGAAGATGAGAAAGCTTGTGGATGTCATGATGTGGTATCGAAAATGGCCCACCTAAACTGAAACATGAAAAGCTCGAATTATTGTTAATGGAGTTCTGAATGGTTCATTGCATTTTTGAATTAAAAAATGTTTCCTAATAGTTCATAGAACATTGTTTTCTTGGTGAAAAAAAAAAATGCTGCTCCCGAGAATTTTATTAAAAATCGTAATGTTATTAAATAAATGTTCGTCACTGGCCTGGAGCTGACATAGGAGAATAGGAAATGTTACTGTTGTGAGATTCGGAACCGCTGCCACCCTTCGTGTCTTGTCTTCAGGCGGCTATCACCCAGTGAAGATCGGAGACCTCTTCAATGGCCGGTACCACGTTATCAGGAAGCTAGGATGGGGACACTTCTCTACCGTGTGGCTGTGCTGGGACATGCAGTAAGTGTTCCTCGTCGGTATCCTTACCTTGATCTCAGAAGTTCAGTCTTTGAAAGTACTTGGTATTAGCATAATGCTGTTTTTCTAGCCATTCATCCATATCGGAAGGCTGTTTGGATAGAAAATTGATAACCTGTAGGTCTTTGGCATCTGCTGCGGCTTAAGGTCGTCGCAGTAAGACGTGTCACTGCTGCCCAGCTCCTACACACGCAATGTTTTCTGTGTGTTTCAAGTGAAGTGTGGCCAGGGAGTGCTTGCAGGTGCTAAGGCCAGTGTTTTTAAAGTCTTCCTTTAATTGGAGAAGACAGCAAAGCATGAAAACGTTGTCTTCACCCATGGGTCCCTGTCTAACTGTGCCTGCACAATCTGAAAAGTGCCTTTCTAAAGAAAACTTGTTAAAAGTTTCACCTTGTTAGCTACATGTTACTTCTTTTTTGCTAATATAAGTAAATTCACTTTTTTTTTTTGAAGGGGGAAAAGATTTGTGGCCATGAAAGTTGTAAAAAGTGCTCAGCATTATACAGAAACAGCCTTGGATGAAATAAAATTGCTCAAATGTGTAAGTACTTTGAAAATGTGAATGTTATAAGGGAAATTAATGACTAAAGAAAACTTGGGAAAAAATTTTTCCTGGGTGGTACTACATTAAAGTAGAAGTTCTTAAAAAAAAATCACTTACACTAAAATAGCATTGATCAGTTTAATACTAAGGATTCTAACCTCAGCTCCTCATTCTTGGGTCCCATTTTCTATGCACAGGTTCGAGAAAGCGATCCCAATGACCCGAACAAAGACATGGTTGTCCAGCTCATCGATGACTTCAAGATTTCAGGCATGAATGGAATACGTATCCTTTACCTAATTGTTGCTGAATCATGCATATTATTTTTCTTGCAAACAAGCAATCCTGGGTTGTGTTAAGTCCCGTAGGCTTTTGTCTGCTCCTGTGCGTGCCAGTCCCTGGAACTCTTGCGAAGTGTTAGGCAGTGGCTCCCCTAGATGGTGTTGAAGGGTTTTTGGGGGATTTGGATATAGTAGCATGTTAGGAAAAAAAATAGAAGGCAGCTTGAAACCCCACTTTTTGTTGTTTAAAGCCGGTGTCCAAGGTCTGTTTTTGGATGCCCCATCGGCTGTCTGGCACCTTGTTAGGGCCAAAACACTTGTTGAAACAGTAAAAGCGAAATGCTCTGTTTATGTTGACATTCAAGATTTTAACTTGAGTGTTACAAGTGAATAATAGTAGTAATGATACAGTGGCAATTGTTCTCCTCAACATGGGTTGGAGGTAGAAGTTCTAAGATTTGAACCAGAGCACTTTGGAAGCAATCCAGTGGCCAGCATCGTGACAGCCAGGGAGCTGCTGCTTAAGCTCTCTGCCTTCCGTTTGCCTGGTCTGTCACAGCTACTCTGCTTCATAGCCAGTGCCCTGCAAATGTGCCTTGGTGTGGGTAACCTGAGTACTTGTACCCCCATCCCTATGGGAGGCCCACATGGAGTTCCTGGCTCTTGGTTCTGGCCTGACCCCAGTGCAGCCATTCAGAGAGAAAACCAGCAGATGGAAGATATCCCCCCCCCTCTGTTTCTTGTATTTCAAACAAATAAATAAATTCCTAAAATTTCATTATGGCTTGATCTTAATGCCATGCCATTTTTTTGTTTTGTTTGTTTTTAAGATTGAAAGTTTGTATTTACTTGCTTTTCGATATTTTAAATCCCTGGCAGGTAGAGCACACAAATGACCTTTGCACAGATGATCCTGGTTTTGTTAGTTTTATCACAAGGAAGCTCTGTGTCGTTCTTTGCTCTGTACTTTCGAGTGCATGTCTGGCCCAAACAACAAACACCTTCAGTTTGAAGAGCGCTGTGTGTTCCCTTTAGTTTCAGAGACCTTGTCTTACAGCCAACGAAATGGCCTTCACCACATCCGGCCTTGCAGACACAGTTGCTTGCTAGAAGCACCAGGTCCAGCAGGCCTCCTCAGGCTCCAGGATGGTACCAAGAGAATTCCATTTCTTAAATTGTGATCCTAATTTTTTTTCTTTTAAGACTTATTTTATTTTAAAAAGCAGAGTTACAGAGAGGAAGAGACAGATTTTTCACCTGTGGGTTCACTCCCCAAATGGCTGCATTGTTTGGTCCAAAGCCAGGATTCAGGAGCTGCTTCTTCCAGGTCTGCCGTACGTACGGGTACAGGGTCCAGAGGACTCGAGCTGTCTCCTGCTGCTTTCCCTGGCCATCAGCAGGGAGCGTGCTCAGCACAGCCATAATGAATGTTGATCCTGCAAGGCAAAGGATTGGCCTTAACACTGACCTAGTTAGGCACTGTTAGATGACTGAAGGAAGAGATTCGATGGCTCTTTATGGCATTTTGTTTTTTATTTCTCATGTGTTTTAAGCAGCCTCTTGAATGGAAATGTAGGCAGGCGGGGTGAGCAGCTAAGCCCTGGAATTCCTTTTTTCCCCTGTATCAGTTCTACTGAGGCTTCCATCTCGCCCGTTTCCATAAGAGTGATTCTGGGTGGCAGTGTGCCGAGATGGCCGAGTCTGGGCTGTGGCCAAGTACACTCTGCCTCCTTGTTTGTGCAGTGGGGATGGTGACATTTCCTCAGGTGACTTCGAGTACATGCAATAAATAGTATTCATGTTGATATTTTACTGCAAACATGTTGATGCTGTTTTCAGTGATTGCCACCCTGCGGGTGCCATGTGTGTCTGAGTGGCCCTTAACCCTGTCCCAGATGTCTGCATGGTCTTTGAGGTGCTTGGGCACCATCTCCTCAAGTGGATCATTAAGTCCAACTACCAAGGCCTCCCCGTGCGCTGTGTCAAGAGCATCATCCGGCAGGTGAGCTGTCTGTCACCTTAGTGGCTGTTTGTATTCACGCATGTAGCATTTGGAACTCCTTTTAAATCAGTTTTGTATGTAATCACAGCCCATTTTGTTTCGTAAGAGGTGCTGTGTCAGTCTTTCACGTTTCAAGTATCACTTGCTTTGAGATGACCGTGGTCTTATCAGACATTGCTTTATCCAGTGTCTTGCTTTAAAACGTGTCACTGAGTTCCTTAGAAAAGCACTAAGAAATAATTCATTGTCCCCCCAAAACGTCCTTTTTTTGTCCTAAAAGTCATGGAATGGAAGCTAAATCAAAGGAAACTTAAGCATAATCTACACAGTATACACTAGTTGAAATGTGTTGTGTTGTATACTTGTGATTTGTAAGAGGCAATTTGTAATATTCCTGCACAAGAACACATACTAGGTAAATTAACTGGTTTGTGGTAATGACTTGACAGTACATACATTTATGAAAATTACCATCTTGTTGATAGTTTTTATTGTCAGTTATACCTCCATAAAGTTGGAGTGGATGAGAAATACTTAGGGTATATAGGAAATACTGTACAAGGGTTCTTCATAGGTTTCTGGAAGAATGGATTTAAAAGGTACGTTTATGAGGCTTGCAGTGCAGTGCAGTGGAGTAAGCTGCCATCTGGAAAACCAGCATCTCATTATGACTACTCATTGTCATTGCAGTCTCAGCCATCCCACTTCTGATGCAGCTCCCTACTGGTAGACCTGGGAGGGCAGTGGGGCCTACTATCCGCATGAGACACGGAGGAGGTTCTAGGTTCCTGGTTCAGCCTGGCCATTAGGGCCATTTAGGCGAGTGAACCGGTCTCTCAGTCTTTCTCTCTCTCCATATCTGTCCTAACTATGTAACTATACCTTTCAAATACATGATTAAATCTCAAAAAAAAAAAAAGAGAAAAAGGTCAGTTTATTCTGGTGCAGAAATTTGAAATTCATATATATAGCTTTCCCACAGGATACATTTTTAAAATATATATTTTTTTTATCTTAGAGGCAGATTTACAGAGCGAGAAGGGGAGACAGAGATCTTCCATCTGTTGGCTTATTCCCCAAATAGCTGCAACAGCCAGAGTTGGGCTGGTCTAAAGCCAGGAGCCAGGAGCTGCTTTGAACTCTCCCACGTGGGAGCAGGGGCTGCTTTCCCAGGCCAGAGACAGGGAGCTGAATCGGAAGTGGAGCAGTTGGGACATGAACCGGCACCCATATGGGATGCTGCCTAGGTGGAGGGTTAGTGGGCTAAGCTGCCTCCCACCCCATACAGTACACATAGTTTATTCACTTCATGAAGTACCTCATATAGGGATTCAAGTTTTTGGTGGTTTTGCTTGCACTAAAAGTAAACCTACCTTTAATTCTCTCTTCTGTGGGTCATTTAATGTACTCCTATTACGTATGTCCAGTGTTCTCTTGGCCAGCATCTGGCTTAGCGGGGAGATGCCAGTAGGTGTTTGTGGGATGAAGGCACACCTGTGAGAGGCACTAACGGGCCTCCTGGCCTGCAGGATGGGTGCCAGTCCATGTTCAGTGTGGAATGATCAGGGTGAATGCCACCTGCACTGCTTGTGCTAAAGATGAAGCCGTGTTTCTAGATCATCCTTTCTGGCAGAGCGGGTCTTCCCTGCGAGCTCTTCTGCAGAGCAAGGCTTGTGTCAGGCAGGTGGCTTCCGGAGACGGCTGTGTGGTACGGAGAGCCTGCCCTGCTCCTCAACCCAGGACTTGGGCCAGTCCTCTAGGGCTGCTGGCGTGACGTGTGGGCCTCAGTCCACACGTCGGAAAGGCAGCTGAGTGTGCACAGGTGAGTCCTGATGAACACGGGCAGTGCTCGGCCAGTGCAGGTGGTGCTCGTCTCTGAGCACCTGCCTGTGCGCAGACCCCGAAAGGGCCCTGTGGGTGCTGTAAAGCCATACTAGGTTTTCTTTGAAGCTGTTTAGCCTGCATACACGTTTAGCTTTTCACGTAAACTTTGTCCCCTCTTACCGTAAGAGAGGGTATCTGTTCCTTTTATTCATCATTTTAACACAGGGCAATATCTCATATGAGAAAGTTACGGCTGTCATTGAAGAGTAGGTGCAGTTGTTTGTTTCCCAAATGCTCCTTTGTTTTTTTTTATTGAGTGGCAAATCTAAAAAGAAATCCCCTTGTTAAAACTTGGGGAAATTTTCTGAATTTGCTCTGATAAATCCTGCAAGTTTTAAAGGATTTATACTCTAACCTATACTGAGTGGCTTCAGAAATAGCTCCATGCCTGTGAGGTACACAGGCCCTGCGGCTTCCGAGGAGCTGTGTGCTTTCAAAGCTGTCTGCCGTTGCCATAGGTGCCTGCGCACGTCACCCCCACACAGACTTGGCAGCTTGAGAAGGCGGATTTGAAGATGAACTACCGAGATTTATTTTGTTAGAGAATCTAGCCTTTCTTACCAAAAATCTAAAGTTAAAAATCAGGGGCTTTAACGGAGCCTGAGCGTGTGCTTGTTGACTGAACATGTGATGTGATGGAACCGTGTCCTCACTGAAGTGTGCATAACCTGCCCTTTGGGGGACGTGGATTTTGTTCTGGACCTTTGGTTTGTCTTTTGTGTTTGAACTCATCTTTATTTAAGAGCGATTATTGTTGGTTGCAGGCTTTTTTTCTAAGTGCCCGTAGAATTTGTGAAGTGTTACACAGCCCATTGTTAATTGTATACATTCATTTTGCCTCCCCTGGTTTTGATTTGGCCTGTGGGTTGAGTATTTGATTCCTGAGCAGAACCTGGAAGATCTCTCCTTGATAAATCTGCAGTTACACCCTTTCCCAGAATAAACCAGGGTAGGCCGATCCTAAAGATCTTTCACTCTTGGCCAGTTTTGACCTTGGAGGTCGAGTATGGCTGACCGTGGCTCGGCCGTTCTTTTCGTTTTGTCACTTGCTGTACATCACTAGGCGGCTGCCTTCACACGGTTCCATCCTTTCCCCGTATTCCTTTAACTCTCATTTTTTTCGAAGATTTTTTTTTGTTTGTTTAAAAAACAGAGTTAGGCAGACAGAGGACTTCCATCTGCTGGTTCACTCCCCCAAATGATCTCATTGGGCAGGGCTGGGCCAGGCGAAAAGCCAGGAGTTTCCTTTTTGCCTCCCACGTGGGTTCCAAGCACTTAGGACCGTCCTCTGTTGCTTTTTCAAGCACGTTAGTAGCAAGTAGGATTAGAAGTGGAGCAGATGGGTCTTGAACCAGTGTCCTGTAGAAATCAGGTGCTGCATGGTGCAGGTTTACTGTGACACCACCACAGCAGCTCCAAACACAGATGTGGGAGGCCCAGCCGGCTTGCAGTGCCGTGGGAGGCCCAGCCGGCTTGCAGTGCCGTGGGAGGCCCAGCCGGCTTGCAGTGCCGTGGGAGGCCCAGCCGGCTTGCAGTGCTGTGGGAGGCCCAGCCGGCTTGCAGTGCTGTGGGAGGCCCAGCCGGCTTGCAGTGCTGTGGGAGGCCATGGAAGTCTCCGGAGCTCTCCCTCGACTCGTGGCGGTCGCTCGCTCCTCGTGCCTTCATCTGCAGCTGGAGCTCCTGTTCCTGCTGTGCCTTCGCTAGGCTTCTGTCTCAGGGCACGCAGCCCAGCCTGGTCCAGTTCAGGCTCCTCCTCCTAGTCCTTCCTTCGAAATCTTTAGTGGCTTCCCATTGCCTGTTTGCTAAAGTTTATCAGTCCAGGCCGTAACGAAGCAATACATGGAGTGATTAGCAGCGTGGACTTGTCAGATACATCCTTCAGGACGTGAACCAAGTTACTGGACCTCACTGAATCACAGCGTTATCATCAAGGAAGCTGGATCGCTACCTCTGCGTTAGGTAATTGGGAAGATGCAGACAGTGCTAAAGCAAACGGAGTTCACTGCTTCCTGTACGTCAGGCATAGTTCAGAGTTGTTTGAGTTCTGACCGTCATGCTATAGAACAGGGATTACTGCTGTCCTGGGGTCATGGGAGAGGAAACTGAGGCATACAGCAGGAAAGTAACTTGCCCCTTGTGAAAGGGCTGACTTCAGAATCAGAAGTGGTACAGCCAGACGGACACCCAACCAGCGTGGCCTTGCAGCTCCAGTGTTGAGCAGTTTGCTGGGCAGCATGGAGTACTTTGAGAATTGTCCTGGGCCCTTGGCCAACAGAAGTCACATTGCTGTTCTTCCTGAAAAGCTGGTCAGAGTTTTTTGTCTGGTATCACAGTCCCTGTTTGCACAAAAATGTGTGTCCTCAGTTGCCCGTGTTTCCTCCTGAAGGCTATAAAGATGTGGAGATGTTTTCAGCATTTATAAACACTTGCAAACTTACCACGATTTTCGTCCATGCATTTTTACTGGTTCATTCTGTGGGTGGTTGGAGAAAGTGCCTAATGATCATTATTGACCCTTTCTGTCCCACATCTTTTTAAAATTTTTTTTTTATATATAAGCGTTTATTTATTTGAAAAGCAGAGTAACAGAAACATAGGGGAAGATTCAGAGAGAGAAAGAGAAACCTCTTTCCATGCATTGGTTCACTCTCAAAATGCTAGCAATGGTCAGGGTTGGACCAGACCAACGCCAGGAGCCTAGAACACCCTTGAGGGTGAGTGGGAACCAGGCCCTTGGGTCATCTTGCACTGCTTCCCCAGGTTCATCAGCAGGGGGCTGAGTGGTAAGTGGAGCAGTCGGGACTTGAACCAACATTCATATTGGATGTTGGCACCTCAGACAGTGGCTTAACCCACTGTACCACAAAACTGCCCTGAAGATTTATTTTGTTATTTGAAAGGCTGAGAGAGACCACTTGACCAGCCAGCCAGCCAACAGACGGACCTTCCATTGTCAGGTTCACTTTCACAATAGCCGCTGTTGGTGAGGATGGACCAGGTCAAAACCAAGATCCAGGATTCTGTCCTACTTGCCACATTGGTGGCCGAAGCCCAGAACTCAGGCCGTCCTCCTCTGCCTTTGGTTGAAGGTGGAGCAGCTGAGACTCACACTAGTG